GAGCTCGGATATGTGTGTTTATATATATATCTCAGATATATGTGTGTATGTATGTATATATATATATATATATATATATATATATATATATATATATATATATATATATATATATATATATATATATATATATATATATATATATATATATTTGGTGATATCATATTTTGAATATTTACAGTATACGCAAAAAATATTAATTATTACATGCATTAATTAAATAATACGCAATTTCCAGTAAGTGTCATAGCATCCAATCAATGCCTTACATAAGCCGCAGCTAAATGTTATTGACTGGGTAATGTACAAATTTCAACAGCAAGCAATCATTTCTCAATAGCCAAGGGTCCAGACCTTCTTTGCGTAGAACTGTGGGCTGGCTTTTACCAAGTGGTGAGTATGCCACAGCAGTCAATGTCTCAATAATGTGCCATGTTTCCTTGAACATCAATTACAGCTTGACAGTACTACTCATGCAGTACTACAGTATACTGTCAAGCTACTACTTCTGAGTAGTAGCTTGACAGTACTACTCATGCTGTTCACAAGTCAGTTCATTGTCTGCTGAGGCATGGCATCCCACTCTTCTTGAAAGGTGGCCCTCATTGTAAAAGTTGTTCCTCTGGCTTTCATATGGGTCTTAAGTCTGGAGAATTTGCAGGTCACTCTGTTAGAGGAACCCCAGTCTCCAGTGGCCATACCCTAATGATGCAACCTTGATGATTTGGAGCCATGAATGTGAAATGAGGCCTGTGTTGTTTATGTAGTGACACAATGACTGGATTCACAAAGTTATTTAGGAAGTCCAAGTTTGTCATTGTACCATTCTCAAACTGTAGGGAAGAGTAGCAGTGTACCTGCTTACACTGCAACAGTGGTGGTGTCTGGTAACAACAGTGGCTGTTGCATAGCGTTCACATTGACATCTTCAACATTGTCATTTCTGGTCATAAAAATATGCAAGGATGTGTGATACTCCAATTAAGCTTAAGCTGAACATTAATAATAATTTTTGCCTGGATAAAAATTATATATTTTCTGACCTAGAAAACATGATTATGGTGTTCAAGAATATTTCATTTGATTATTAAAATATTGTTTTAGCTCATTTCAAAATAAGTATTTTTCTTTTTCCCATTATAGTTTACACAAAAAACATACACATTTTTTCATAACAAAAAAGTTTTACAAATTCAAATAAAAATGAAGAATTATCAAATAGTAATGCCCAATATTTGATAAAAGTCGTATAAAAACAACAAATCTCCATTGTGTCGTAATTTTTAGTACCTGTACAAGGGCACGTGAGGAAACATTTCTCTGCCATAAGTGACATGTCCTTGGACCAATCAGAAACCATAAGAAGTGGCCCTGCTGCCAGATTGGCTCGACGCAGTAGTGACGTAATGAAGCGTTGGTATAAAAGCAACGCACGCACTTCATTCAGCGCTTTACACAGTATGGCCGGCGATATTAGCTAGCACTCGCTTACGGTATTCTCTGCAAAAGGGAAGGCGGTAACTCAAGATAATTAACACCTGGATTGCTTAAAGGACTGTACCTCAATAAATTATAACTAACCGAGGAAGGATTAAATAAGCTGTAAACGTTGTAACTGACGTTCTAATAATTCTGTTGGGTGTCTGTTGTCTCACGATGGAGGATAACGGTGCACATTTCTTCGAGGGGACCGAGAAGCTGCTGGAGGTGTGGTTCTCTCGCCAAGACGAGACCAAAGGGACCGGGGACCTCCGCACCATCCCGAGGTTTGAGTCTTTTTCTTGTCTGCATTGTCATGTCATGTCTGTGTAGCCTATTGCGGTAAACCTTGACCATACTTAAGGTATTGTGTGACATGTAGCTAGTAATATATTATAAAGTCCAGGCCCCCAAAGACTGTCATTGGTTTACCCGAGTCTGGCCTGCTGAAAACCGAAGCAGTTTCTGGCCTTACAGCCCCCTACCAGCGAATTAGCTAACACCTTCTCTGGAAAATGGCCACCTCCCCCTTTAACTGTGCTGCTCTGAGGATGACTCATTCATTCGTCGTACTTTAAGTTTATCAGTTCTTCCTATTCCATTACTTGACGCTTTATGGTTCGTAATGGATATTTTCTGTCGTGTTTAGAAATACGTAGACTAGCAGGTGGGCAAGCGGTTATTAGCCGAGTAACTCATGCTACTTCCTAAAAGAAAAGTCTCAACATCTTTTAAGCGTTGCCCTGCTGACTTTATTGGCCTTTATTGGGATTTTAAAATGCTGTGCCATTTAGGTGACTGATTCGTCCGTCACTGACATGTGTCTGTCAGTTTTTGCTGCCAAAATTAGGCGGGCTTGATGAATTTTCTTAACCCTTTACCGATGCTCATGACTCCGAAGTTGGTATCAGTTTCAGAACTTTTGAGTTTCGACTTTCATTAAAGCGTCATTATGCTGCTTTTATGGAATCTGGGTTTCGCTTATCTAGGATTAGGTCATTTGTGAAAGTTGCAAAATATGGGTAACCCAATATAACTTTGACCAAAGTATTGCACTTTTCAAATAGGACTCTAAATTAAGATGGAACTGATCATAGGTTGTTCGGGTTCCTATAAAAGTGTTGAAATATCCCTTTAATGACGTGACAAAACTGATGCCAACTTCAGTGTCGTGTCGTTGCTCGTATACTTCTGTCACGTTGCTGTCTGTCTGCGTGGTTGGGTTGAATACATTCGAGAAGCGGGGAAAAAAGCAAACTCCATTTTTGTCTTGTTAAACTGTAGCTGCGTTTGTCGTTGAGTTTATTTCTCTCTGCGTCATTCAACAAAAAGGAGGGAGGGGAGCGTGAAGCATGTGGTCGGCCTTCCTTTGACTTGGTAGCATGGCCACTGCTGCGCTGACCGTTCTAAGAACTGCTTCTGGACAGTTTCATCAGATGCATCCTTTTATTGGACAGGCTTTTGTTTCTGACTGGGTTCCGTTCTTCAGGTGAATTCTGTCAGGTGGGAAGCGCATAGAGACACTGGTCATCAGTTTTTGTTGTTGTGCGGTTTAGGTCCCGAATTAAGCGTTTAGGTCCCGAATTAAGCGTTTCTGTCACGAAGATTGACTTTTATTGTTTTGTTAAAAAAAACAAACCCTACTGGTCCCTGCACGAGTCACGTTTCCAGCCATGAGGACGCTCCCCTCCCCAGTCCTCTGATTGGTTCAAGGGTTCTGCACTCTGATTTGCTCAGTGGCCCTCGTCTGCATTTGAACAGGATGATGGGACGGGAGGCTCACAAAGATTCACGTGGGGGACTGTTGACCTTTGCCCTGATTCAGTTCAAGAAAATTCACTTTTGCATGTGCCTCAAAAGGTTATGTAAAAAAACAAAAGTTGATCATAGACACAGCAGGTAAACAGAATAGTGATTCATACATCTGATCAGAATGGGCCTGTTTTGGTTTTGATCAGCTCTGAATGCTGGTTTGCAGCTCAAACGGTTTGCACCTAATGAATGAGAGAAAATTAATTCTCAGTTTTCAGCCTATAGAAACAATTTTTAATTTTAAATAAATGAAAGTGGTGCCTATATGTTAAAGCATAAATGGGGTGTGGAGGGGGTATTACAACTTTTATATTCAAAGAGCCTGCAGTCTCACCTGATGTGTGACTTTCTACCCTCCAGAAAAATGAAATGTTCAGGTCTCAAAGAAAAAATTGTGTTTTGGAAAAAGTCTGATCGGTGGAATAATTTAAGTTCTATAATTGAACAAACGCGCGTGTGGCCAGTGGTGCGATTGAGGAGCGGCATTAATTTACAGCAAAAGGACAGATTAGCGGCTTACGGGGACCCAGTCAGTGGATCAAGCCTGCTGGACATCAGCCAGTGTCCAAATAAGTCCACAAGGGCATCTGAGTGACCGGCGGGGCCGTTGCTCAGATTACCTCTGCTGTCAGGCCTTAGATCTTATGGTCTACTGCTGGTGACTGCAGGGCAACTTTCCCAAAGGCAAGGTGGTGTCAAACTTTAGCTCTGATAATGTGGCTGTTGGTGTTATGCTCTGAGAGCACCTGTTCATGTTAAATTTTAGTTCATAAATGCTATGGGTGTTTTTTTTTTTGTGTGTGTGGGGGGGATGCTACAAACTTTGTCTGAGTGACATGAAAGCAGAAAAATGGCATTAACCAGAAACCTGGAGTCCTTCCTTCCCTGAGCTAAATGCTCCGAAGGTCCGTGTGAACCTGTTGAACGGGTGAAGACCAGCAGGTCCTGGTAGTTCCCGGGAGTTTAATCTGGTTCTTTTCTTTGAGGAAATGGGATCACACCGAGCGCTCTGAAATAGCCTCCGGTGTGCATGTCGCTGTGAAATGGGAGCTACCTCAGGTTTCTGGTAACATTGTTGCAATGGGCCGAGGAAGGCATGTTGCAACAGCCCTCCCATGTGCTTGTGTGTGAAATGGCGGCCAGTAGAGCCGACGGTCACACTTGTTTGACCTAAATGCTTTGCAAAACAAGCATGCAGCCTGCTGTTGGAATATCTCAATGAAGCTGACTGCGTTTCACCACTCCAAGCCTTAATCTGTTGCTGGAGATGATCAGAAAGAAAATCGAGTCAAGATGGCTTCAAGATCCCCCCCCTCACCCACCCTGCAGTCAGAATCCCTAAGTCATATTTGTCTGTATGGAAGCTGCTGAGAAAACGGTGTAAAAATGTGTTCTCTTGTAAACAATAACTTTAAAAAAAATAACGTGGAAATTCTTGCAAGCCCCATTTTTTTTGTCTTAATGCATAATTATGAGATTATTTTTTACAAATATGGTAAAATATTGGGTTTAAGTGACTAAGTCCCACCTGCAGGTATTTCTATATATCTTTCTTCTATCACACTGCTGCTTAAGCCTTACATGATATTATAGTCTTTGATCAATATGGGAGTAACAAAATTTGAGCTATTCAAGTTGGTTTAAAGAATGGAAAAACATTTTTCTCTTATTTTTCTTCCATATGTAGATTTTAAAATGAATTTTAATGAGGAAAACGTACAAAATTCATTTGAAATGTTTCTAAAGTAGCACCACAAAATCAGTGATTTTTGATGGCAAAAAAAAAAATCACACAAGCGGTCATGAAATCCTGCCGGTACTGAATAAATTATTGTACTTGCTACAAAGGTCTCAAGTATCTGATCTGTGAGCCGATAAGTGTGCACCGAGATTCCACCCACATGAAGACAGGACTACATGAGCATAGTTTTTATTTTGCTTCTTGACCTGCTGTATAACTTTGTAAACTGTAAAATAAATCTTTAAATCCTCCTTCAACAATATATTAGCAACGCACCAAGAAATCTTTTGGTGACTGACATTGGATGATTATTTTCCCCCTGCTGGTGACCAGACTGCTACAAACTCAAGACCAGTTTTTTTTTTTTAATCAGGCAGAACATAGGGCAGATTAGTGTAGAAATTGTGACTGAAGGAAGATTTAGTGAGCTTTTTCCAGTACCAGTAAGGTGTCTTAAAATTAATTCTGAATATTTCTTTATCAAATCTCTGTATTATTTTGGATGAGTGAGGCAGTTGGCGGTTACCAGGAAGGCTGAGCAGACTACATCAAGTTGCTCTGCTTTATCCTCTTCAGATTTCAGACTACATCTCTGGTGGAACATGCTGGATTTGAAAACATTGGTGTAAATATCAGAGTTTAGGGTCTGTGTTCTGTAGGGAATGGGCCAGATATTGAAAACAGACTGTAGAATTCTAATAGGCGTATCTCTAATATGTCATAACTTCATGTCCGACAGGTCTGGCACATGAAGATGTATTGGTCTGTTTATGAAGAGATTTTTAGAATCCAAGCAATTAATTGGAAGCCTTTTGGAAACTTATTTTTCTTCACAACAAATGTTCTGTGGATTAAATTGGATGTTTTCTGTCTACAGTCATATTCACAGTGTGTTCCATACATTCCAGCCCAATTGTAGATATAGTGCCGTTAAGTTCAGTTCATTATTCCAATTCCAAAGTTTTCTCTGAACAACTCAGTCGCAGACTTTAGAGCAAAGCTGCACAATGTAGAAAATCATGTGATGGTCTCTGTAAATATTGCGACATGCAACACTTCATTCCTAATATGTACTTCCTGCTCAATGTGAGCTTTAGCATTTTGGTGTGTGTGTGTGTGTGTGTGTGTGTGTGTGTGTGAGAGAGTTCAGAGCATGCTGCTGTGAGACTGTCTACTGGCTAAATATTACATTAGCATAAAAACAACTTCAGGGCTCTCAAAGTATATTAGCCAAAGTGCATTGCTCTCCAAACAGTCCTCTGTTTATTTTGATTTAACATGACATGAAATCAAAATTCTTAAATTTCTCATGATAAACAATACGATAATGCCCACCCCAGTCGATTGCATCGAGTCGTTAACTTGGCAGCGGACTTTCACACCGAGCAGGGATGTGCATGGTGGAGGGGGTCAGTTAACAGGAAGAAATCCTCAACAGAACCAGAGCAGAAGTACAAAAACACAGCAGCACTGAACTAGCTGTACTTTCCACGCTGAAGACAAAGTAAAGAGTTACTGACAGCAGCTCCTCTAAGTGACTTCATCTCAAAGTGAAACCTAGCTAAACATAGAACCACTTTGCACACAATCACAAATCCTACATTTTGTTCCCTTCCTACAAAACTGTTCTATGTCAGGAATTGCAACACCTCAGCCACCGATTGTACTGTGGATTAACTGGATAACTTGAAACATAATATGATCTAAGGTGGTAATGTTGGGCAATGATAGGTGAGACAAATGAATTCAGAACTTGAATCTTTTAATGTAGTAGTTCTTTCATGTGTTCATCCAGACTCTAAACATTGACCTGTTGATTATATATTATGGGTGGGCATTTATTGTGTAACTTACCATTTATTCAGAAAATTTTACGCAAATTTTGATTTACTGTCTTGATAAATGTGCATTGATTAAAAAAATAAAATAAAATAAAAAATTACTGGAAACATTTATTTTCTTCATTTTCTTCCACAAATATTAGTAAATTTGAAAATGTGATTAAATGCAGTTACTGTGAGCTATTTGTTACAAATCATGCTATAAGTGGCGTCCTGAAGGAGCCGATTTAAAATTGAAACATTTTCCAAAGAACAGCATTTGTGTTGGACACTATGAATGCTAAAAATTCTTAAACAAAACACAAAAAACGCCTGTAATACAGGATTTCCCCCAGTGTTTTATAAGCCTGGTGGGCTACCAGGCTTTACTTGTGCCCCCACCAGGCTAAGCATTGCTTATTTAAGTATTTTTTAAAATGTTAGCATTTTTTAAGAATTTATTGTTGGTGTCAGGTATTAATCTTCCAATCTTTCAATAGCACATAATTATCAAGTGATATTTTCAAATTTTCTTTAAACTTTAAACATGTAACTCAAAAACACAACAGATTGCTGGATGAATGACTGCCCTAGCCCCCAACTACCAGGCGTAGCAAGTTTTCTGGGGGAAACCTTGTGTAATAATTTAATATTATCACAATGGTACTACAAAATATTGTAATCAAATTCTAGGTCCACATCACCCATCCCTTCTACAGATCAGCTGTTGATCTGATTTATTGTGGCATAAGCAAATGTTGTTCAGTAGCATTGCGTTAAGTCTAGTAATAGACATAATAGAGGTTTATTATTATTCCTGTGGTTCAACTAATAAATTCCCTTTTTTTTCATACTGGAAAAACAAACAATAGATTCTCCATGAGAGACTTTCACCTCATCTGCAGACAGAAACTCATTCAAGTATGTGCTGATGTGAATCGGTGTGTGTGTGTGAGATGGAACGGTTACTAACGGAGGGCCGGGGTAGCTACTGGTACAGTCCCCATTGAGCGCTGTGCTCTTCTCGCGAGCTTTCTCTAGTGGCTGATGCCGAGCTGTAAATGGGCCCAGACTGCTCTTCCAAGGCTGTGTTGGAAAACGTGACGCAGCTGCTTTTTGCACTGCAGCTGTTTTTTTTTTTTTTTTTTTTTTCTCGGTCCTGGTGGGAGGGCAGGAGGAGCAGCAGCAAGTATCGATCCTCCTGTGAAGGAGCACATAGTGTTTATGTTCTTTTTACTCAGCTATTCATTTCATATAGCTGAAATTTATTATATTTTAAGGTTTTCAGGCCACACAAAAGCACATTTTTGTAAATTACTACAGTGATTAAAAATGGTCAACTGGTAGATATTGAATGTCTTGCAAACACTAGGTTCCCTTCCTACGACATATTTTATGACAGCGGTCTGCAACGTTTGGATGCGTCCCTGCTCCAACACACCTGAATTAAATGACTGGTTGACGTGGATGTGTAAAACACGTCGACATGCTATGAAGGCGTTTTGGTTGAGGTGTGTTTGAACATTGAAACATTCAAACACTGCAGCACTGCGAAGCTGTGCAGAGTAATCCTAACATTTATCCTCCTCTGTTTTTCAGGTTTGAGTGGGACAAACTTTTGGAAAATGTGCATTGTTTGATCATAAGTGTGACAAAGACCGACAAGCAGGAAGCTTATATACTCAGGTAAGAAAGGCCTGTCCGCTCCAAACATCATCTGCCTCAGTGGTGTCCAATTCCAGACGCCACTGGTGTGGATTAACCCTTCACTGATTGATTTCACTGCTGCAGTAGTATATAATGAAGTTTTACTATTAAAGTTTCTTCTTTTCTCTGCGCCATAGTGAGAGTAGCATGTTTGTCTCCAAGAGACGTTTCATTTTGAAGACATGTGGAACCACCCTCTTACTGCAAGCACTGGTGCCTCTGCTGGAGCTCGCCAGGGAGTACTGTGGCTTCGACGCCATCGAGGTTAGACACACACTGCCTGCATAATGAAACTCATTACACTTCTGTATGTATATGATGCTGGAGAAGACCCTTGCCAAGGCTTTTATTAATGTTCAAACCTCAATGTATTTAAACTTGCCAGCTATTCTCTGTTCAAAGTTTAGACGTGAATACGTTTTGACCAACTTTGCAGCTGTGGCTCATCCAGGATGTTGTCCTGCTGGAAGCTCAGCCTCCATGATGTGTTCATTAAAATTAATCCAGTTTCTGGATGTAATCGGTAGCACTAGATTTTATTTAGTGGGAGCAACAAGGGATGAACTGAGATGCAAACTACATTTCTTTTTTTTTTTTCAGGTTTTTTTTTTTTCTTTTTTTTTTTGGTTACCTATACTACTTTGCTCCCACCTTACAAAATGTGGCTCTTTGTTGGTCCGTCACATAAAATGTGTCATTGTGCAACATTGGGATTGCACAATAGTTGTCTGAAAACAGTAGTTTTCAGACTACTGTCTGAAAAAAAAATCTCAGAACGCAAAAAAGATTAGTGAAAAACTTTTTTTGAGCAATTTCAGTGAAATTGCTAAAAAAAATTTTTTCACTAATCTAATTTTCACTAAAAAAAAAGTTTTTCACTAATCTTTTTTGCGTTATGAGATTTTTTTTTAGCTATATTCAAATTTGTGTATTTTGCAAAACTAGTGGAAACACTTAATTTGCATCATGCTCTTTTATAGCTTCTGCTCTCCTTAAATAATGCATAGCTGGCTCCACCAGAACTATGATGGCATCACAGTTGATCAAAGGTTGACTTTGACATTTGAAATGTGATAAATCCACAGCTCTTATGTAAACTTTCAGCTGATTTTTATTAACTTAAAATATGAACAAATTTTAATGTGATTTTTAGTTGCGCTTAATGCAAATTACACAATTGTATTTTTTTTTTTGTCTCCAACATTAGCAGAATATCAAAAGTCTTAAGCACATTTGTAATGGAAACAGCTAGTAAGTGGACAGTTTTACCGTGGGGTAACTTTTGGGTGCGTTTTGTTGCAGAATTTCTTCTATTCCCGTAAGAACTTCATGAAGCCGGCCCACCAGGAGTTCCCTCATCGAAACTTTCAGGAGGAAGTGGATTTTCTTAGCCAAATTTTCCCAAGTACGTAAAGCAGATCGGACCAAGTGTAGTCGTAAAACTCTGACAGTCTGGGATTCCGGTGATGATACAAACCCTGATTTCCTCTTCTTTCCAGATGGAGCAGCCTACTGCATGGGACGTTTGAACTCTGACTGTTGGTAAGTGTCCTGAAGCTGACCGGCTGGAACTAAAGTGTATGTCCAGTGTTGCTGCTTTCACTGGAAAGGCATTCAACAGAATTGAGTAAGCTTCCTCTGCTCTAAACGACGACACATGGAGCTTCTCATGTTCATCTCTGAACAGATGAACCAGCTAGTTGTAGAGTCTGCTGTGTTGCTGCAGCATTTCTGATAACTACCGTATTTTCCGCACTATAAGGCGCACCGGATTATAAGGCGCACCTTCAATGAATGGCCTATTTTA